CAGAATTTTGGTTTTAAGATTTAAATTAAGATTTTTTTTCGTTCGTTTCGATTTTTTTTCATCGGTTCATATCATCAGAATTTTGGTTTTAAGATTTAAATTAAGATTTTTTTTCGTTCGTTTCGATTTTTTTTCATCGGTTCATATCATCAGAATTTTGGTTTTAAGATTTAAATTAAGATTTTTTTTCGTTCGTTTCGATTTTTTTTCATCGGTTCATATCACCAGAATTTTGGTTTTAAGATTTAAATTAAGATTTTTTTTCGTTCGTTTCGATTTTTTTTCATCGGGTCATATCATCAGAATTTTGGTTTTAAGATTTAAATTAAGATTTTTTTTCGTTCGTTTCGATTTTTTTTCATCGGTTCATATCATCAGAATTTTTGGTTTTAAGATTTAAATTAAGATTTTTTTTTCCACGAATTAAGATTTTTTCCACGAATTAAGAACCCTTTAAGTTTGTAAAATAAATAAATAAAATAAAATAAAGGATATGTGATAAAATGCTATTAAAAAAATGTGTGTGACGTGACATTATTTAGTTTGTTTGTTATCACATCAATATCATATTAAAAACCCGTATCACCCGCCAACTGACAATGATAAAATCACAATTGTGTAACATGATTTTTGATAAATCTTTACGCCGGACGTATAAAACCTTTTTTTTATTTCACATTTTATGTAAAAATTTCTTTTAAGATAGAGGATACATGTTGCATTTTCTTTTATTTTCATTCCTAAATTCTAATTTATAATCCTGATTGACTAAACTACCACCAATACCATTATCTTAAAAAAATTTGAAAATTAAAAAATTAATATTTATGAATTTACTTATCAAGCGAATATATTAAATATTTTTTCCATAAAATATCTTTTATATTATTCTATGAAGAATGAATAATTAAAAATTATTTTATGTCGGATTTAAAATTAATAATGAGGAAATAAAGTTGACGTTTTAAAAGAATAGAACTTCAAGAGAAAAATATATAATAGGTAAAAAAGTACTTATTTTTTCAAAATTTTTAGATATGTAAACTGTAATATCGATTACGGAATTCACACTCACTTGAGTAAGATAATTGTATCAATAAATTTATTATTGGGTTGTATCAAATAATTTTTCAACTTTTTGTTTTCGTTAACGTTAATTATGAAAATATTTAATAATATTTCTTCGTAAATTTAATCTAAGGTATAGAAGTTAGATTGTAGATTTGTTATCGGAAATTTTCTTGAATGATTTGTCCTGTAATGAATGCAAAATTTAAACATTTATGCCTAAAAATCCTTCTAATATAAGGTATTATTCAAAATTTCATCTATTTCTTCATATTCTTGGATATTTGTTTAGATATGCGAATAATTAGCTTATAAGGAGAATATTATTAATCATGATTTTACTTTTTTTTGAAAATAGCTTTTCTTGAAAATGGTAATTTCTTTTTCGAGTGATCCTTCTTTGACAGAAATATTACGCAAATTTAAAACCAAGAACTTTGATCACATTTTTTTAGGTAGTTTGACTTTAAGATTCTTTTTCTCCCAAAAATGACGTGTTTTAGTGATAATTAATTTTGTTAAAATGATTGAAATTTTAACAAAATGCTCAAAGGTGAATCTAACGAGTTAGGAAAACTCGTTCTACCGTTCCTCTTGACCATTTTTTTAGACATCTCTACACCTCATCCTCATGTTTACGCATTTTCCAATTAATAAACTTTCATTTTTATTTGAAAAATCGAATTCTTGAACAAATATCCCTTTATAGACAAGTTTCATATTAAATATATGGTTATGCTTAACGTTTATTACGATTCCGATGTTTTTTGAGTTATTATTTCGGCAGTAAAAATTTATATTCATGTAATCTGAAATGCAGCTCATGGCTTGAGGTATGGTGTATTTATTTGTATTTATTTCACTCACTTTCCTTTCCCTTTCTTTTTTTTTGGCTTTCTTTGTATTAATAAATAATTGAACATAATTTTTGGCAAATATAAGAATTTGTAACGAAATTGCTTGTTTTGCTAAATAATAGTTAAATGGAACTACTACTCAAGTATTTAATTTTCATCATGCTTTTATAACTCACAATTAAAGAATACAATATTATAATTGTACTTACTGACGGAATACGTAAGGTTTTATGTTAGGTAAATATGCAGATCGATTGAAAAAATTTTTGTTTTAATTTTGTTCGCGTTAAAATAAAACATAAAAATTCGTCTCAATTAAGGATGGGGATTGCTTGCCTCAAGTTGGTTCTGGAACCGATTCTAATACAGCAGATTCTGAATATTCGACTATTTTTAAAATCAAGCCGAAGCTGACTCAAACCGACTTCATAAAAAAATCGAAAATTATGATCACGGACCAACTATCGTTTGATGGCCAATCAAAATTTTTCTAATCGATCATCACCTGTTAAATTGACGCATTTTAACTCACAATGAAAGCTTTCTTTCGTTTTCTTCATCCACCTCTTTCACCTAAATAAAAGGCGGAAAAGAATCGTATTAAAAATAGACGTCGCACGTGGTTGAGAAATGAACGTCGTTGACGTGAACGTCAAGAAAACGAGATGCTGAAAAAGCTCGTCAAGAAAAAGAAGCCAATGCGAGGTCGATAAGAACCGAAATAAGACCGACGAGTCGGTTCTCATTTCATTTACATGGTCCCAACCCATTCGACTTAAGCTATGTCAGTTTGAATGAGTTGTATTTATAAGTTATGCCAGTAGTTTTTATTTTTCTTTTTTGTCTTTCAGATCTAAGAATTTTCAAAATATTTTACTTCTAAATTCTTTTTTCCTTATAGATTCATTTAAGAAGACTTATCATAAAGAAGATAAGAGTTAGGATGGTTATTTTTATTTTTGATAATGTGTTCTGTTTAGTAGACTTCAAAGTATATACAGTATTAAGGTACTGATCATTTTTCTATAATATTGATAAGCATCGGATTACAAATTTTTTTAAAAAAGAGAACTCATACTATTACGCCCGGCCGCCTAAAGTCACGTGATTAATATTAAATTTTGATTGGGCATGAGGTAGGTTTTACTTTGCTTTTTAACTGTTAATATATTTTTGCTAATGTTGTTTTCCTCTCTTTTTTAGATTATCTTGAAGCAGATTCCTTCTGGTTGTCACTTGTCAAAGTGTCTTATTTTTTGTTTTTGAAATAAAACTGATACGGGGCATATGGTATGAGTATAAGGTTAATCATCAAATTAGGTAGCTTACCGCAGCAATCATTAATAATTTTTTCTTTAGGTTTCAGCTTGGTCTTCGAGTGAAAGAATCCTAGGAATTTATATCAACTCTTTTAACAGTTTTACGCCCATTATCAATAAATTAAAACAAATCACTCGACACTTTTCAAATTTTTGGGATAATAACTTTGTATAATATATATCAAGTGGACATGTGTGATCTTTTTGTAACGCATACATTTAATCAATTTACTTTACTTTCTTCAGAAACAAAATGTAATAATATTCTAGCCCCTTTAAAAAAACTATTCAAATCTCACATTAACCTTCCAAAATCAACACATAATAATATCATTCATAACAAACTTTTCCCAAGTATACACAATTTCTTCCTTAATCAAATTTATGCTCATTGTGTTATTACCAATGTTATTTAATTCCCCCATTTTTCGTACTATTGGTTACAAAAAAATCATACAAACACAAAAGGAATACTGGTTACTACACTTTCCTACCCCAGAGACTTTAAATACTTACCATTGATTAAACCTTCACTCCTAACGAAAGAATTACACCTTTATAACTCCATAAGTATAAATTGCCTTTCTCGTACGGATACCCGAGTAATCGGAGGACATACCCTTATAGTTCCACATCTAATAGACCCAACGTCGTCTTGGGACGTAAAGTCACTTCAATATAAACGAAATATATTTCTTGATCAAGTCTCCTCTGTTGATGGATTGATTTTATTTGGAAACTTGGAAATTTATCAAGAACTTACCTCAAACAAATTCAAAGGACGTACGCCAAATTGATTTAAGAGATTAGAAGATAGAGGAACGTTATCCCTTAACACCAGAAGACTAACTGCCCCGTTAACACAACTTCAGTTAACTATCTCCAATATAAAGCACAGAAATTAAAATAATTTACTACCACAGATTTATATCCAAATGACACCATACAATGCTCACATTGTAAAAACACAACATCTTGGCTTTTGCTCTACTTTAACGGATACGATCAACATGATTCTCACCAAACATCAACGCATTTTATTTGATTTCATTGATGAACATACTGATGACATTATAACATATTATTTCTGCAATGAGGAAATCACCAAACTTGCCTTATTCCAGCCGGTTAGGTCACCTTCACACCCAATTTACTTTATTATTCATCAGCTTATTCTTTCCTCCTTAACGGATTTTATTTACAGTTACGTAGAAAAATTCAATTCCTTACAAACAGTCACTTTAGCAATAGTTAGTTCGGTACAGATGGATAATTTATCGGAAATTTGGTCAACGCACAGTCGCCTCCTAAAAGAATGGGAAAAATCTATTAACGTCCCAAAAAAAGATAAAAAGCAATATCACCGAAAGCGACTACAAAATCATTTGATTTGGACGTCCCCGTGATGGTGCCTCCTCTTAGTAACCGACACCAACCTCCTACATTTATCAACGCGACATGAAGATCATTTTACACCTTTATGGATGGTTTATATAACGTCAAATTATTTACACGCGGGGACGGACCTTTTATATAAATACTTATGAAAATATAGATCAATTTATAGAGAGCAGTTTTCTTATTTTTCTTATTTTTCTTCTTTTTTAGTTTGGATTCGTTTATTTTTCTTTTAATAATAATTTACATAATTAGAACAGGCCTCAAGCTCTTGGTTTGTACTGTATTAGGTGGGACGTTCTCATGCGTGAGATTAGGTTTCAACTGTCTAAATGTATAGTTTGGTGTTCTGTCCTTATGTTAAAAATAAAATAAAAATAAAAGTTTCAGCTTAGAACTTAGAATGGGCTGGAAAAGCATTTTTTAATTGACTTTAAAAGAAATTCTTCTAACGTTTATTTCTTGTTTTCCTCTAGGACGCCAAGTTTCTTATATAACCCGGACTTTTGAAGACAAATTAGGAAGGGGAGGTATGTAATTATTTTTTTATTAATTGACTTTAAAGAAACGTTTCTAATGTTAATTATTCGATTAATTATTCGATTAATATACGAATTACCAGAAATTTTGGAAATTATTTGAATAGAGATCAAAAAAGCTTTAACCGCTGTAAATTATACCAATTTGTTTCTACTCGTATGTCTAGTTGAGGAAAGTCATAATTTATTAATCTTATTATTAAAACTTTAATAAAGATGCGTTTGTTGCGTTTGTTAAATTTAGTAGGGAGAACACGTGACCAAAATTTCTCATTTATGAGCCGCATACCAGAATTATGATTTAATCGATTAACCGATTTTGAGATACTGTATTGATCATGATTTGTTAAATCATTTCCACCGGTTAGTATGCAATATAAATTTTATTATTAGTAGATAAAAATATGTTTTCCCAAGTTCAAAATAAAATTAATAAATCGAAAATTCCAAGAAATTTTTAAGTTATGTGGAATGAAAATCAAAGTCTATTTAAGATCAAATTCTAACATAACCAATTAAAATGATAATTTCCCCTTCTAGAACTAATTAAATGATTAATAATTCAAAAACGCATGGTAACAAAATTTTCTAAAATTATAATTAATTCATAAATACTTTTCCCGGCATGAAATGGATCATTAAAATTTCTGACCGCAGCTGTAGTACAATTTCTAATTTAAGGTCGATCTCCGACCGCACCGGATCCCTAACTAAATTACCCACTAAAATAATTTGCCCAATAAAATAACTTGATGGTAGTTGAACGTCATTCCTGACCGCAGTTATATAAGTTAATTAATCATCCAATAGTTTAAAGGTCTTTACGGGCCGCAATAATTTAAAACAAAAGTAATACCTAAAAATTTTAAATATAATATTGCGCCCCAAAATTAGTAATGTCACTAGATAAAGTCGTCCTCTACAATACCTTAACCAGTTAACCGTCTTAACCGGTTAATTAATCAATCAGTTCCAATCTCTAGACTTCATTTCTTATTTTATTCTAGGGACGCCAAGTTTCAAAGGTAAATTAGGAGCGTGTTTATTTTTTTTTCATTTATTTAAACATTTCTAACTTTCATTTCTTGTTCTTTTCAAGGAATGCAGGATTTCTTGTACAAGTCGGATTTAAAGGTAATTAGAAGGAGAGGATTATAGGCATTTTTTTATTTAATTGATTTACGAAAGTTTTTTTACTTTATTACGCTGTTGCTTTGAATTGTAAAAAGGAAAGACCTGCATTAGGCAGATATTTCTGTTTTATTTGCAGCAGGTGGTTGTTACATAAGCGGATCAGCAAAGAAAATTTCTTTTGCAACATCTTACCGAATATTTAGAAAATAAAAAATGAATTTAGTAATTAAAAATAAATTTAATAATTAAAAAAATAAATTTAGAAAAATTTTTACAAACTTTTGAATGATATTGGGTTGTAGGATAATATTCATGTTTATCATAATTTATCGTCATTCTGTTTCATAATTCCTTTCTTTCCTTTATTTTTCTTATTTTGTCGTTCTCTTTTTAAAAATTTATTTTTTTCTTTTTATTTACTGGCTTCGTCACCCCTTTAAAAATTGTTTTTTTGATTTCATTTTTTCATTCCCCACTTCTTTTTTTTAAAAAGAATTTTCTTCTTTTCATTTGTCTCCCCATATTTATAAAATTTTTTTTTTTGATTTTATTCTTTCCCTTTTTTTAGGCTTTTTAAATTCTTTTATTTTATATTTTATTCTTTTTTTTTGTATTATAGGTTGAATATATTTTCTTTTTGTCAGTTGATTCTTCAGACTTTTCGCGTCTTTTTGTTTTGTTTGAAAAATTATTAATTTATTTTCTTTTTATTATCGCCGTTTTCAGAAATATGTGTATTTGCTATTTTGTAAAAGTAGTTCACGGGCAAAATTCGAAACTCGAAATTTTATGTAACAATTAAAAATTATCCAATAATATTTATCCAGATTTCACGTGCTAACTATTAATAATTTATTATCGCACCTTCGCGTACAAAAAACAATTGTTTTTTAAAAAGCATTTACAAAAAATATTACAATGAGTAATTGCGAAGTTGAAAAACCAGAAACCTTTAGTATAAATGTATAATATTAAATAGGAACCTGTTATATACATGTCAAAAGTGCCTTTACTGTAATACTATTAAACCAATAATGCAACAAACTTTTCTTATCTTTTACAAGTGAATCTAAAATCTGTAATATCAAATGTTTAATCAATAAATAATTTATCAATTAATAAATTAAACATTAATAAAAGTTAGGGCGAACCATATTACTTTTAATTATTAATATTTATCTTAAATAGATACATTTAAAACAACAAGATTCAGTTTTTCTTCTTCCTTGACACACAATCCCAATGATTATAAATTCTTCTGATCTCATACACAGTAGAAACGCCAATGTAAAGACTAAGAGCAGTTTCTATTGCTGAAAACCCATCAACTGAAGTTGATGGTAAATGATACACCATCTTATATCATTACTTAAAGTCTACCATGTTAATGCTAAATATTTTAAAAAATGATAAATAAGTAAAATTTAAAACGAAATTAAATCACAATAAGAACCAGAATAGTCTATAATAGTTTTAAATTTTCAAAAAAATGTTTCAGAAAAAAAAATCATGCAATATACCTCAGTAAGCAAGAATTATAAGAATCTCAACAAAGTACCGTGAGTTTCGTGATAAAATAACTATCTATATATCATAAAATTTATATTAGAATCTTGTATAAAGTAATATATTTATATGGAAAGGAAAAAATCGCGTATTATTATAACAACTTACTGTCTTGTAATATATTCGTAAAGTTTTAAAATCGCAAAAATTCTCGTAAATATTAGCAAGTTTCGCGGCAAAAGAACTTTTCATATATTATAAAACTTATGTCAAAGCTTTATATAGAGCAGTATGTTCATATGGAAAAAAAAAATCGCGGTTTGTCTTAGTAAAGTGTAAAAGTTTTATATTCGGGAAATTTTTTTTTTACAAAAATTTAAGTGATCATCGTGTGGCTTGGATTACACATATTTCTGAAAACGGCGATAACTGATTTACTGATTTCGTATTGTAAAAAGAGAATTTGGATCAACATTACGTTGAAGTTTTTAAGTATTACATGTTATCAATTTTTCCTTTACTTTCCACACACTTTAAGTCTTTAATATAATTTAATATAAGACTGCTATTAAAAAACTGGTTTCTTCCTTATTTTAAAGAATGAAACTGATTACGTAACCAAAATTGAAAATGAAATCAGAACTTTCATTTTTCGGTTTCACTTCAAAATATTTTTTTTAAAAAAATTTTTTTCTTTTACTTTTAATTTTTTTTATAGTGGTCGGTTCTTTGATTCTTTTGATTTCAGGAAAATTTCAGTTTGACTACACAAATGTATTTGAAATTTTTTATTTTGTAAATCTTGGTGTTTCCAAAAGTATCAAATGCTCACATTTAGATAATAAATTTTGGAAAATAGTATAATTTATAAGTCTACAACGGTCTCATAACCGGTGACTGATATTGGTCAGTCAAATGGTCAACCAAAACGGTCGGTTAAATGGTCGGTCAGTCAAAGGTTCTTGACCGGTTATGACCCGACCATAACCGATCGTTACATTAAAGAATAAATAATAATACCAATTAAATATATTGGTAAAATCTAAAATCTTGAAACCTTGCTGGCCTTTTTCTTTAAGCATATGTTTTAGCTGGATCAGTCCTTCTAAGGAAAACACAAATTTTTTTAAAAGTTTTTTTGATAGATGGCATATTTCAAAACCACAAAATTTTCTTAATTAATATATTTTATACATAACTTGAATCTTTTTATTAGTGTTTCAATCCCAAGTCTGGTTTGACTCAGGTCAACCTGGATTAAACCGCGAATATCTGGATAAAAATCATGTGCAGATTTCGGATAATCTGATATATTTCATGAATTAATGGTCAGAATTTTACGATTTGTAGCAGCTCTTAGTGCTACAAATATGATTGTAGTGATGAAATTTCTTAATAATTTGGTTTAATCCCAATTTTTACCAAATAAAGTATTTATCTGGATCGAAACATTACTTTTTATTTTTAAATTAAAAGATTAAAGCAATATTTTATATAAAATAAAAATAATAAAGTATTTACTGTGTAGTTTTGAATTCGGTAACAACTAACAAAATTTACAATCGATATTGCTCAAGAATCTGGAAATTTTTAAATATTCGGTAAGCTGTTGTAAAAGGAGCTGACAATTGATTATTTTCAAACTTTGCAAACTAGTTAACTTAATTAACGAACAATCATCCGTGGTTAGTTTTGGACAATCGCTTACAGTTAAACTCGTAAGTTTAGTAAGTTCAGACAAGTAAACCTTATTAAGTTGAGAACAACCATTTATTTCCAAACCAGTTAACTTAAAATCCTTCAAACTAATAATTTCTAAATTTTTAAAGCCTTCTATTTTTAAAGAACCTTCTAATTGTGATTTAAAGAAACCAAATATGCTTTTGTTACTAACAATATTTATCTCTTTCTCATTCAAATATTGAGCATTAAATTCTTTTTGCGACATGAAATTTATTGATCTTGGTTCTGTAAATTAATTTATGTTTATAAATATTTTATTTTCAAAAATATTCACATTAATATAAATTACCTTACTTGACATTTTTGGTTGCAAGTTCATGCTATTTTTTTCGGAAGAGATCAAAGCTTTAAGAGTTGAAACAATATCTTGCATATTTGGACGTTCACGTGGTTTATCTTTCCAACATTCTAATTAAATAAACCAAATAAAATTTAATTTTAACATTAATTAAAAAATAAATAACTATTTATTACCTTTATATAATTCACTATATTCAGCAGGAGTTCCATCAATAATTTCTTCTCTTCTTCCATTTATTATTGATATGGCTAAACTTACGTCATAACTATCATTTCTATATGGTTGATATCCACTTGAAATTTGCCACATTAGAACACCAACACTATAGACATCAGATTTTTTATTTAGTTTATAATTTTGCTGATCTTTTAACCTTTTTGGATCGATATAAGGTATCAAACCAAACATATTTGGATTATTACTCGATGCAGCAATCTTTCTTGATAAACCAAAATCGGCCAGTTTTATCTTTTTCTGATGTACAAATACATTGTCAGCATGCTATTTTAATTTAAAAATGAAAGAGTTTAATATTAATCAGCTAAAATCAATATTAAAATCATAATATTTCAAATTATTACCAAATCACGATGAATGATATCACATTCGTGTATACACGCCATCGCACTTGCTAGTTGGAATGCAAACCGGTATTTATCATCCCATTTGAGTTCATTAAAATGATCACTTAAATAAGTTCTTAATGTGCCGCTATCAGCAAATTCCAAAACCAATGCGTACTTTTGAATTGTATCTAAATATGCATTAAAAAAAGTTTAGGTCACCAAAAAATACCTTAATTACAATAATACGCATAATACATATAAACACTAAGCACTTACTAGTTTTTTTCACTTTTGCTATTCCATGAAATCGTAAAATATTTTCATGAAAATCCACTCTTTTATGTAATTTTATCTGTAAAAGTATTAAATTAATAAACAATTAAAAAAAAATATTTTAAAATCGTTATAAATTTAATACCTCATTGACAATCTCTTTTAATGTTGTCTTATCACCATTGAAACATTTTAAAGCAAAAACTTGATCAGTATTTTTCCAAGAAGCACTACGGACGCTTCCAAATGAACCTTTTCCTATCTTTTGTAATATTTTAAATTCTGAATATTCATAAGACGTGATAAATTCTTCGGCAATTGATTTTTCTAACCATTCCATATAACAATTTTTTTCCAATTTAAGCTTATCTACAACTAAATTAAAATCATCAGTTTTTCTTTAAATTCATTGTTTACATTAAATTATTTTGTATCAGTATTTAAATTACATATACCTCCAATATCAGGACTTGACTTTGTTTCACCATCCTGACATTCTTGATAGAGTCTTTGATATTTTGAAGATGAACCATCAATTTGTTTTTCTTTATGACTATCTTTAGCGTGACGATCCAGATAATCAGAAGGAATATCTAAGTCGTCATTATCATCAGTTCCCGTGTTATCAACATTAATAGGTTGCAGAGATAGTAGATCAAAAGAATCCTTATTTAATTGACTTAAAATTTCATATACTTCTTCAATATCTGGTCTTGATTCTGGTTTGTCGTCCCAACATTTTTGATAAAGTTGTTGATATGTTGGAAGTGTACCCTCAATTGGTTTTTCTCTATGACCATCTCTAATGTAACGGTCAATTATTTTTCGTACATCTTGTGAACAGTTAGAAAAAGGAGGACGTCCACTTGAAATTTCCCATAATAAAACACCTAAACTATAAATATCGGACTTTTTATCTTTTTTATACCCGATATCGATATTTTTAAAACATTGTGGTTCAATATATTCAATCATTCCCATTCTATTAGCAATCGAATTAGTCATAACTTCTTCCAATTTTTTAGATAATCCAAAGTCTGCAATTAATAATTTTCCATTATTCACTAATATATTTTTTGGGTGCTATAAAATGATTGACTGTATTTATTAATCATCATCAAAGGCAAAAATCACAAACAAAATATTATAATAAATACTACTTTACCAAATCTCTATGAATTATTTTTCTTAAGTGTAAAAATTTCAATCCACTAGCAATATCCAATGCCATTTTAACTTTATTATTCCATTTCAATGAAACAAAATTTTTTTTCAAATAATTTCTTAAATTTCCACCATTGGCATATTCCAACACTAAAATATAATTCTCGGAATCTATCAATTTAAATATAAGTAAGTTATATTGAACTTTGTAAATAAATTATTTAGTAAAATTCTTTGATATGAACCTTTTGTTATTCCTAGAATACGATTGATATTTTGATGATATTTAACCTCGCGAAGAAGTTTTAACTAAAAAAAATGGTGTGTATATAATATTAAATTTGTTTTACCAAGATAATAAATATATTGTACAACATACTGACTAAAAAGCGATTCCTACCTCCTTAACAAACTCATCATTAGCCTCATTAATTTCCTCTTTTGAACTTTTACTAAAAAGAATTTTAAATGCGACCAATCCCGTATTAGCCAAATACGCTTTACTCACTTTACCGAAAGCTCCTTTACCAATTTCGTTGATTTGACTAAATTTATCATATTCAAAATAACGAATGTGTTCATTCTTTATTTCTTCCTCAATCCATTCTTTTACCGAAGTCATTTGTCATTTAAGTAATAAGTAATAATAATGAAATTTGATTTATTTTTAGTTCTCTTAAAAAAAACTTCATTGCATGCATGATGCATGTACAGTTAGCCCAGATGCATGGGTTACAACATGCCTAAAAATGAATTCTACAACTATGCATGTTGCCAATCTAATGTTAGCCAATCTAATGTCATACTACTGTCATACTGCATCAATCAATTTTGGCCTGGCCTAGTTTCATTTGAATATATATCTCCAAATCAATTGTGCTAATTTTTCCAAATTAAAAATCTATATAACCAAGACAAAAAGGAAAATCCAAAAAAAAAAGAAATCATCTACACAAGAAATCAAAAAGGGGAAGATCACCGAAATTCCGGTTCAAACAACTTCCGATGATGATTATCTGAATAAACATTTTGCCGACCGATCACGTGACTTAAAATTTTACGATTTTCCCGCTTATTGGAAAGACAACGAGATTTATGATAGTCTAAAGAAAGTTGGATATGCAGAAAGAGTAGAATTTAAACGGAACTACAAGTATAAAACTGTTCGAGCCAGGATCCACCTAACAAAAGAAATGGAAAAAAAATTCATTAATGGAGGATCCAATATAGTAATCAAAAAGAACGATAAAGTTTATTATTGTAGGATGTTTGACGCAAAGAAGACGCGACAGAAATAAAGAAAAGATTCGAATGGCAAGCATATATGAAAGTTAAAGAAAAGTATAACGATAAAGACAAAATGGATCATGAAGTAACAAGATTAATTAATATGAATTATGGCGGTCATTTTTTAAAAATAATCAGAATAAACAAAGTCAGATATATTTGATATATTTTAACAATGAAAGTGATCTATTAAAAGCCATTTACAAATCATCAATGGAAGAAGAGATATGTGAAGGACTACAGATCAAGAGTCAGGACGAACTGATCGGCGAAAATGGACCGTACAAGAAACGTTTCGGAATCAACAGATTTAAAATCCCTCAACAAAATAAGAAGGACGAATTTGTTAACGCCCCCACCGATCAAATTTCGACAATTCCAAGGACTCTAGAAGAACATGAAGAATTAGATAATTTGAACAATAATTTTAGAGAAAGACTTGAAGAGTTAGAGGAAAAATCCAGCAGCTTGCCATCAAAGAAAGATAAACAAAAAGCGGTGGATACATTGGATAATGAAGACGAGACAAATAAAAACAAAAAGCGTGTAGTGCGAAAGCAGGGAGAAAGGACAATTCAGATAATGAATAAACAAATTATCCCAAAAATTTTAACAAATTAAAAATTTTTTTTTTTTAGAGAAATCGGAAACCGGAAGATGATTTTTGATTATTAATTTAAATTTTTCATACCGAAAAATTTGATTTTTCTTATTCTTTTCCCGTTTAGGTTTAATTTTTTTTCCCAAACTGAAAAAATTATCCTATTGTTTCGGTCTTTTAAGACCGATTTTTTTTATATTAATTTTTTTCGATCTTTTTTTTAGACCATATTGTTATTTTTCTAAAAAATTTTTTTTTTTAACTCTTTTTTAGACCGAATTATTTCAGTTTTTTCAGATTCCTTTTTTTCAGAAATTTCCATTTTTTTAAACCGATTTCTTTATCCTTTTTCTTTCCCTCAAATTTTTTTTTATTATTAAATAAAGAAATAAAATATTGTATTAAAGTATTAAATATATTTACAAAATTATTATTTTTTAAAAAAAAATCAAGTAACATGTAGGAAGATTGATCGATGTTGATAGAAAGATCATTTAAAAGGTTTTCAATAAATTGAATGCTGGATAAATAGTTTGGTTTTCAAATTCATAAAAATCAAAAAAATTTGATATTTTTACAATATTTTATAATTAATTGATTGAAGAAATTGATGATTTAATAATAGATTATTATAACTGATAACCAAATCCATATCCGAAATTCTCTAAATAATCACCAGATTTTTAATAAATATTTTAATTCAAATGATTTAGTTAAATTAATAATTTATCAAGTAAAATGAGTAAAATGAATATCAAAAAGAATAATAATAAATGAAATGAACAGAATTCTAATACATTTAATTCTTCAAATATTTTTCCTAACTGCTAAGTTGGTTATGAGTTTAAGGTTGGCGTAATATAAAATAATAAGAAATAATTATAAAATTTATAATTAATTAATAAAAATATTTGTAGTATTTTCACAATATTAAAGTTTTTTCGAAAATACTTCTAAAAAGTTAATCAATTTTTATTGATAATTATTTTTTCGCAATTCCTTAATTAATACGAATTTCATTCTACACTTAAACGTCAAATCATTAATATAAATAACTACATTATTGTAAATATAATTGGGAATTGCTAAACGTCGCCTGGGCGATTGTCGCCTGGGTTTTTTTTAAATATGTCACATGATGTACAATATATAAAGAGTAAATTTATTAATCAGCTGACGGCTGATTTTTTCAAACAGCTAATTTTTGATCGGTTAAACTTAAAAAACTTTATCGCAAAGATCTATTTTAAAAAAAATTTTTTTTGCAAACATATTTATCCAAAATAATCTATCTTATCTAATGAAATTTTATTTGCAAATATTAAAATTTAAATCACACATTTATGATTTTAAAGAAAAAATCACTGTATTTATTTTTTAATGAAGTGATACAAATAAAAGAAAAGATGCTAATAAAAAATGAAATAACAATGGAGTAATGAGGAGTAATAGAAGATGAAAGGGAGTAAAAAAGAGTAATGACAAGTGATAGGAAGCAAAAAGGAGAAATAGGACATGATGGAAGATGAAGAGGAGTAATGGGAGACAAAAAGGAGCGATGGAAGAGGAATAATGAAAAGGTGAAGTGGAGTGATAGGAGACGAAAAGGAGTGATGAGAGACAAAAAGAAGTGATGGGAGATGAGAGGAATGATGGGAGACGAAAGAATGGAATAATGAGAAGTAATAAAAAGTGAAAAATGATGAGAGACAAAAAATAAAAAAATGATCATGATAGGAGGTTGGGTAACAAAAGATAATGATAGGAAACTTAGTAAAAAATAAATCATAAATTAAAAAAAATGAAGTTAGTAAGAAACGAAATATAAGATAGAAACAAAATAATAAAAAATAAATAAAAAATAAAAAACATACCTTTATTAATTGTAGAACTGAAAGAACTAAAAGATCAAAAAAAATGAAATAAAATTAGTGAAAAATGAAATATGAACCAGAAACAAAATAAAAAATAAGAAACGAAATGTAAAGTGATAAACAACTGAACCTTAATTGCAGAACCGGAAGGACTAAAAGACCTAAAAATAATGAAATAGAGTTAGTAAGAAACAAAATGTAAGGATGTAAGTTAGAAATAAAAATAAAAAGAAAAAAGAAAAATACCTTGTGACCGAAATAACTGAGAAAACGAACCTTGAACCTATAGTGAAAATGAGATTCGATAAACAAATAAATATGACGCGATCATGTAGCCAATCTGGCCAATCAAAAATATTAAATCTGCCACATGATCGAAAACCCAGGCGATTTCCAATATAATTTATATCATTCTAATATTATAATTATAATTTAGTACATATTATTTTATTAATTTATGTTAACTAATTATTACCTATATTAAATTCCTAATCATAAACAAAAAACTGCTGTAACTATCTTTAATCTAATTATAACACTAAAATTTTCTATTTAAACAAACTCATTGGTCCTGGTGCGGAGCAACGAATAACTGCTAGTTATGACCTAAAAAAAAAGCTTATAATTTTCTGATATTATTTAACTATTATAATAAACGATTTGGCATTTAATATTAAAAGCTGCGCCACTAAGGATGTTTTTAAAGATGGTCATCGGTCCTACTGATCTTACTCGGTCCTGGACCAGTCGGTCCCAGGACTTGTAGGACCAGACCGCGGTCTTTCATTTTTTCTTAGCGCAGTAGGACCGGTCTGAGACTGACCTGGTCTTTGTATTGGTCTTTATATATAAGTTATTTACATGCATATTGAAACTTTGCCTTATTTCTAAAAAAGACTTTCTCCAAGGGAAAAAAAGAAAATTAACGTTAATAAAGTATGTCTATATACATGTTATTTGCTTATAATATACATCTGGAATGGTTCCTATAAATTTATACAATTAATGTTCATTTATAAAGGAAGACTGTTCCTAGTAAAGTAATAGAAAAAATTTTTTATTTGCAGAAAAAAGAAAAAGACTGATCGGTCTTAAAAAGACTGCAGTTCTTAAAAAGACCATCGGTCTTATTGTACGTGTTACACCGCGGCCCTACACCAAGACGGACCAGTCCGTCTTTTTAAGGTGTAGGACCACAATACCGTGGTCTTTTAGGACCGATGACCATCTTTACTCCTCTTGGCATTTTTACTTCCTTAACTTCAAGATATCGATAATTGAAATGTGAAATTTATTGTCCAGAGGACATTATACAAAATTGACTGTCGATCATCACGTGGAGTTCTGTTTCCGATTTGTGCTGTCATTGGTAAACGATCTGTTGCGCAGATAAAGTTCTGATCATGTGACAATTAACCAATCAATACTTTTTTCGAAAGGATTTAATATGAAAGATCAAAAATTTAAAATAATGATCTGGAAATTTTCATTTCGCCACTTTAAATTATATATACTGTATACATAAAATCAATTTTTCGCTCAATTATTATTGTCATGTTTCGTATTTAAGTTTTATGAATTGTTAACTAATTAAAAAGTGTCTCTCATTCCGGTCTTACAATGATTCTATTGACTAACATTCGCCTAACAAAAGAAATGGAAACAATTTTTATAAAGGGCGGATCAAATATAACAATTGTAAAGAACGAGCACGAGTATTTTTTTAGGATTTTTGACGCAACAATGAATGTGAAAGATATTAAGCAACGGTATAGTTGGCAAGCCGTTAAAAAGCTAGATGACAAAGAAAATTTAGAGGCAGAAGTCAATATAGTTAAAGGGTATATTAGAAAATTTAAAGGCCATTTCGCTAAAATCATCAAGATTTAACAAAATAAAATATATTCTATTGTATTTTAACAATGAGCGAGATTTATTACAGGCCATTTATAGATCGACAATGGAAGAAGACATGGGTAAAGGTTTACAGATGAAAGGACAAGATGAAATCATAGGGAAGGACAGGAAGTTTAAAAAGCCGCAGTACAGGGACACGAAAAAAGATAGTGCACGATCCTTTTCGGAGGATGAAACAATTTGAAGATGCGTTAACGAGTCCTAAGTTATCAGCAGTACGTGATAGTGAAATTTTTGATGGTGTTACTGGGGAAAATTTTAATGCGGGGCTGATCACGTTTAAATTGTCACGAGTTGTTAATATGATTGGCTATCTTCACGTGATTGCTTGTCATTCGTTGGAATTTTTTTTTTTTTTTTAATTTTAATCATTTCTTTCTGGTCATATTACTAGGAAACGGAAGTCCGAAGTGCTGTTTAAGGTTTTATTGTTGTGCATCGTTTACATAGTTTCACAAAACTATGTCAAGATTGTAGTAAAATTTACTATTATCATTATAGTATATGTTATATTTTGAAACCGGGTTTATTTCCGAAATCTGGGTTTATTTATAAAATTCACTTTATGAATTCTATGATACTATACTAAATGTTAGGCTTGTTTCGAAATTCGAGGCATTTTCCCATTAAATTTTTCGAAAATTTTAAAACTTAAATAACTCACCAACCATTAAATACTAAAAGTTTAACCAACTACATGATAACTTTAAGAAACTTAAAATACCTCGTTTTTATGTAAAAATCTTGAATAAAAAATTTTTTCCCTATGATTTTCCCTATGAAACTATACTTAAAGGTATTATAAAAATGAATACTTTTTTATTTTTTTTAAAAAAAAGCAAGATATTTTATAAAAAAAATAAGTATTTGGAACACCTTCATGAAATTTGAAACGAGAATAAGAGAAAGTTTCAATGTTATTTGTGTATAAAAAATGCACCTATTTAGTGAGAAATTTCTTCCCTATAAAAAAATTGGATACGTTTTTTATAAAGTTTTTATACGATTTTTTTCCTTAGAAATAACGTATCATAATAGGATACGGAAAAATGCACAATTCCGTATCACTAAAAATATGGTTTGGATACGGAATTTGCACGGAATTCATATGGAATTTACATGATTTGATCACTGATTTTATCACGAAATTTATACGATTTGGTCACCGAATTTACTATTTGTATTACAGTTTACTATAATTTTTACATAAATCTAATTTTACTTTATTAAATTAAATAAAAAATAAAAAATAAACAAAATACAAATACATTATGAAAATTCCTCCTTATTAAAACCACCTATTGCAACCAAAATTATCTATAAGTTCAGGTTCATTTGGAGTCAAACAACCTAAAAGAACAAAAAAAAAATTATTGGAAACAAAACCCCCCCTCATATAGTATCTGCAATCGTCCAAGTCACCAAAGGTCAGCATTCCTACAAAAAAAGAAAGAGAACTCCAGAATGTCTGACCTACATAAATGAAAAGAATTATGAAGCATCTGATGAAAAAGAAACCAAAACAACAAAATAAATCCAAAACTGACCTACAAAAAAAGAAGACTCTGAAGCAACAAAACCGAAACAACCTACAAAAAGAAAAGAATCTGAACCCAACTTACAAAAAAAAAAAAAAATTTGAACTGACTTAAAAAAAGAAAAAAATCCTGAATCATCCTACAAAAAGAAAAGGACTCCCAAACTG